ACATTGTCTTTGTTTGTAAGACTCATTATGTTAAATGTATTTTAGAGGAACTTGGATTTAATTCTACAAGTGGTAAACTTATACTCATAGTTCCCTTTCTAAGGAAGAAATTCTTCAAAATCATATGTCAGTTTTGAATATTTCTAATATTCCAAACAACCAAAATGAATTCGAATTACCATATTTATATTGGATTCCGAAACTTCATAAAGATCCTTACAAAGAAAGATACATAGCGGCTTCCAGTAAATGTTCAACCAAGCCTCTATCTTTACTCCTCACTAAGATATTAACAGTGGTGAAGGAGAAACTTCAAGAGTACTGTGCAACAATATATTCGAGAAGTGGTGTAAATCAGATGTGGATACTTAAAAATTCCAAGGAACTTTTGGAAAATTTGAAATCACAAGATTTTACCAAAATCAACAGCTTAAAAACTTACGACTTTTCAACTTTGTACACAACCATTCCCCACGATAAATCAAAGTCCAGGATTTTTGATATCATTGACAGCTGCTTTTTCAATAAAAATGGAACTCGTAAATATACTAACCTTGTCATTGGTCATTTGCAAAATTATTTTGTTAAAAAACATTCTGATTGTTCACACAAGTACTCTGAAGTTGACATTAAAAAGATGCTTGAGTTTCTGATTGACAATATCTATGTGGTTTTTGGAGACCAGGTCTTCCTACAATCTATTGGAATTTCCATGGATACCAATTGCGCCCCGTTATTAGCAGACCTTTTTTTGTATTCATATGAAGCAGAATTTGTCCAAAATCTTGTACGTGAAAAGAAGAAAACACTTGTTGTGGCCTTCAACTCGACATTTAAAGATATATCGACGACGTATTGTCAATTAACAATGGCTATTTCCATTCTTATGTTGATACGATACATCCTTGTGAACTTGAGATAAAAGATACCACAGAGTCTGACACATCTGTTTCATATTTGGATATTTTACTTGAAAAAGACGTTAATGGTAATCTAACAACCAAGCTTTATGATAAACGTGATGACTTTAACTTTTCTATCGTCAACTTCCCTTACTTATGCAGCAATATACCTTCATCACCTGCATACGGGGTATATTTCTCTCAGTTGATTCGATACGCAAGAGCATGCTCTACGTATGTACAATTTCTAAAACGAGGTAAATTATTGACAAATAAGTTGATGAAACAAGAATATCAGCTGTCTCGTTTAAAGTCATCATTTCGTAAGTTCTATGGTCAATACAATGACCTTGTCAGCAAATACAATTTATCATTGAATCAAATGCTGACTGACGTTTTTCATACTAATTGTTAGGCCATTATTTACACACTGAATTGTCGACGGATTTTTCCGTTATTTCCCGATCATGACAAGGAGCACACGGCGGGTGTGACCGGTCGGCAGAGGATGCTCACTCCTCCATGGCACCTGATCCCACCTCTGATGTTTGGAGGTCCGTGTTTGCTCTGCTCCTATTTTGTATTGATTAATGGACTTTTGAGCTTGAATACTGTTCGTTATCTCCATATATTTCATGTATATTACAAATTTTTTTTATCCTTAACAAGGATCAAACTCGGTCATTCTCATAAGTGTCTAACACCAATGAATGAAAATTAGACATAACTGTAACTCATGTTTTAGCTGGGGCTTAAAAATTACAAATTAAAGCTTGAATATGTCACAGTAGACGAACATTTCACCAACTGGTCCAACATCTCACCAACCGGAACACAGAAAAAACATTAGAAATGTTAAACATTTAAAGTAAAAAAAATTATATAGTAATCAATTTTAAAGGTATATCGAAATGTTTTCCCGTTTGTCCGTCTGTCTGCTATTTTAAACAAGTGAAAGTCGTAAGAAATGTCAAATTTTCAGAGTTGATGCATCTACACCAACATTTTTTTTTTTAGATTAAAGCTGCATTCAGCTATGCCCTTCATGTATATTAGTCAGTACATGTACATGTATATAAAGGAAAAGCATTTCGATACATTAAGTAGGTCATGATGAACTATCTGGATGTTCTGTTTCAATTCTATATATATCTTTTTATTATGTAAATGATTAAACATTATCGTTTCCTTTGCTAAATCTTCTTGGATTCCTAGTTTATAACCAAAAACTGATAAATTATTATAGCAGGTATATTTTTGAAAGCTAATTTTGTTTTAGACATTATTAAAAGTACTGAAAAAGTAACAGAAACTATCCCATAGTTTATAAGAATAAACAGGCACAGAGTATTTTAAAGCTGCTACAGGGGATGCTCCTCCTTGGCATCTGATTCCACCTCAGATGTCTCCAAGAGTCTTGTTTTGGTCTATTGACAATTTGTATCATTTACAGAATTTATCAGATTCATCAGTGTTTGTTATGTTCAGCTTTTACATTGATTTAATTATCAACATTAAGACAAATTAATTCCTTCTGTGTGTGAAGTGGGTGATTTGACTACGTGCTGCATTAATTCTCTGATGATTGTGTTTTTTGTTATGGTGGGGGGGGGGGGTGTTATGTGTGTGTGTAGGAATACTTTGTTTTTCTTGATGTAGTTCATCGAATTATTTTAAAAATATATATTAAAATATGAAGTTTTCATCACCCTTGTTTTAGACTGCATTGCAGAAAAATTGGACATTTTCAACTGAATAATCATTAGAGGAATATTTAGTTTGGTTTAAAAAAAACAAGTTGGTTGTAAATCTTTTTTACTACAAAATAAGAATGTTTTTAAGAAAGATTTTTGTCTGTAGGTTGATAGTTCATACTACTATCCCTTCAACGGACCCATGATTTTTGCTCATATTCTCTAATTGCCATGTGCATTTCGTAATCAACACTAAATTATTTGTATTTTTTTTTCTAAGGTTTAGTTCAGTTTATGTGTCTCCAGTAGATTTGTCATGGTCTAATTAAAGTAAGATATGATGATGGGATTTCTAGACAGGCGTAGTATCGTAGAATTACGAGCGAGATCTTGCGTGGCATTTATTTTTATTTGGTAACATATCAACAGACATATGTGGGTTTGAAAAAGGAACGTACTACAAATTCCTGATGAGTCGGGTGTGAATAGATGAAGGTAACATTGCAAGAGGTACATTCCTCCAATGTGGTGTTTGTTATTCTGTTTTTAAAAAAGCATTCAATCAATAGGAAGGATCTCTTACAGTTTCTACTTTGAGTACGTCATAAAATGGACTTAAAATGTGAAGATTGATAATGTTTTATTTTGACATTGTTTATACGTTCTTACCTTTTCATGCTTTGCACTCTTGCACGGGGTAAGTATAACACCTTCTCAACATTTATTTAGTGATGTCATTAATTAATAATTAGAAGAATATACCTAAAAATTGTAAACCTTTTTAAGTGATCTGTTATCATATTTAACTATTTAATATCACACTTACTGAATTCATCTACTTAATGTATATCATTCCTGACATAAGTTATATCAAGGATTTTCTGAGAAGTATATTTTAAATAACTAATCTACTTATAGAATGACTCAAAAGCGCGAAGAAAACTGGGGGTCAGTGTGCGTCTTACGGAGCAATGATACAATTAACTTGACCTTTTTGCACTAAAATTGTAACATTAAGGTTAATCACTTTAACCTTTATCATATTTCATTAGACGTACTCATTGCATTATATATAATCTTATTTTATGTAAAATCCTTTGAATAATATTTATCATTGAAAAAAAATCCTTCAAATTAATGCGCGTAAATTATTGTGTGACCTTTTTGCACTAAAAATCAGATATTTGCTGTGTTAAAAATCTAAGTAGACAATAAAATACTTTCTTGTATCAAGCCAAGCTTTTTATGACTCAGGTTAAAATAAAATGTAATTTTATCTTGACTCTTTCATTTCTTGGCAGAGTCTATTGAGTAAATGTGACTGTAAACTTTGTTCTAAAAATATTAATTGAAACCTATATCTGTTTAATATTCTTGGCATATAATATCGAAAATAATTCTCTGAGTAAAAAGGTTTAGGGCTAAAGCTCAAAGACATTTAATTTAACCTGTATGTAGATTTGAATATTTTTTTTTTCTAAATATTCTCCCACCACAAGAAATAGCCCCCCCCCCCCCCCCAAATAAATCTTGTTTCCTCAAGATTTTTTGAGCAGTTTTATGCCCTGTTCACACGGAGAGTTTAATTCGAATTAAACGTAAGTTACTGCGAATTAAATTTGAACCGCGTTCATACGAAGAATTTAATGCGAATTAGTTTAATTCGAATTAATTTACTGCGCATTAAATTACTTTGCATTAGCTCCGTGTGAACGCTAAGCGAAGCTAATTCGAATTAAATTTTGATGCATGCGTAAGGACAGCATTAAGTCACAGGCCACATGTCGATGGTCAGATATAGGTACTTTTGCTAGTTTTGAGTGGAAAACAAAGGAAAACTATGATGATCGCTAAAATGTGTACAGTCACTATGACATTATGTCAAATCAGTGGTCAAATGTATCTGCTCGACACAATGTGACGTGATTCGCAAAATGACGTTATAATAGCCTTACTGAATAGCCTTATTGTAGAAATAAAAATTTAATTCGCATTAGTTTACTTCGCATTAGCTGTCGTGTGAACGCAATTTAATTCGCATTAGTTTACTTCACATTAATTTACTGCGAATTAAACTCTCCGTGTGAACAGGGCATTAAATTGAATAATGTATGATTTACATTGTGTAATTCAATTATGTTATAAAAAATAATTGAATAAATAGATTTGAAGCGTGAGGTTCTGCTCAAACATTTCGCAGAAGCTGACACGTGAAATGCCTTAAACAGAAACTATGGTGAGCTAATATTTGTTCTATTTTACAATCTAGAATTCAAGAAGGACTTGTCTCCTGCGATGTATGAAAATGTACTCAAAAATAGACCATGAACATTTCTAGATTGTCCAAGCATGACAAGACAATCAAAGACAGATAAGAATTAAACGAACATTAGAATACAGTATCATGGGAGCATGCCTCACAAAACCACGGTGTTCTCAATGTTTGGAAGACTCGGATTTCTATTGCCACACCTGTGATAAAAATTTCTGTGTCTCGTGTAAGGAGAAACATGTGATAGACATAGACACTAAACACCACGATGTAGCGATTGGCTGTTTAAAGTATGGCGATCGTATGATACCAGAGTCATGTGAGAGGCACCCAGATAGGATATATAAATACTGGTGCCTGTCTTGTCAGTGTCCAATCTGTGTCATATGTAATGGTCACCGGAGTCATGAAAAAATTGATTTGGTAAAAACCTTCAAGACTTGCATACAACAACAAAGAGACAGAATTATTCGCATTAGAAGAGAGATTCTACCATACAATCGTGCTCTCCTGGCACAAATTAAATCTGATTTTAAAAGTTGTATTACAAAAATATGCAACCTCCAGTTGGATATGAATTCCAGGGTCCAGAACCTGAAAGATCAAATAGAAACATATACAGTTCTTAAGAATATAAGTAGCTCAAATCCCTATTTTGTCTTGAAGTTACAGCAAAGAAGAAATGTGACATACATACATAAATATATACAAAGATATGAAGAGTCAGAAAACAGACCAGTACAATTCCTCTTTTTCTTAAAACTAGTCCCCGTCCCCAAGATAAAGGACATTCCCGCTACTTTAGCGATATCTCTTACTACGGAAATGAACATGGAGGATATTGCAGTGCTGTTTGGAAAAATTAAGATCAAAGAAACAGGGAAAAGAAAGGTAGGAAATGAAGATCTGTTTAAAGCGATGTCTGCTGCCGTGTTACAGAAATCGATTAACGTGACCGATGTGAGAGGTGGTATTAGTCATATTTCCTGTGTCATGCCAGACCGAGCCTGGGTCAATGATAATAACAATCTTATCTTGACCAATAGAACAGGCGAAGCTCTTTCTCTACTGACAGATATATCAAGTCCGTATGGCATACACACAGTGACAAGACACGGTGATTTAATGTATATAGATAGAAATTCTAACCTTATCCAACTGTCTACAAAGAACAAAGCAATGACTTCATTGATAGAAAAAAAAAGAGCCATGGACTCCACGTTGTGTTTTCTGCTCCCCTTCAAATGGAGATTTTCTTGTAGGAGCGATTTGGTACGACAAAAGCGAACAGAGATATACAGAGGCTAATATAACCCGATACAACAGCAAAGGACAACAACTCCAAATCATCCAGCACAACAACAAGGGTGAGAACCTGTATAGCGATCCTATATACATCACGGAAAACAGGAATGGAGATGTTATTGTATCTGACATGTTCCGTCGTACAGTAGTTGTGACAGACTGTGAAGGAGGATATCGCTTCTCCTACAGAGGGTCACCATCAAATTCAGGATTCTTTGTACCGAATGGAATCTGTACAGATGCGCTGTCAAACATTCTAGTGTGTGATGGATACTCGAAAACCGTACAAATGATTGACAAAGATGGTTGCTTTCTGTCACTGCTACTGACAGAACAAAATGGGATAAACAGACCCGGAGGGCTATGCTATGATGATAAAACTCACCTTCTTTGGGTCGGGTCGTGGTGGGACAACACAGTGTGTGTATATAGATACATACAGTCAAAGGATTTCCTAATTAGCAGTTTTGATTAATCAATTAAATACTTTCTATATAAATAACTACTAGTATTCACAAAAGTAACTGTTAATGAAGATTATTAATAATATATAGTTTTTTTTTTTTTTTTACATTTATCACTCCTTTACACCTCATATGATATCGTTTCCATATCCACGGTTTCGACGTTACAATGGTTTTTGCGTGAATTTGATCAAGTCAAATATTGTGGATTTACATTTATAAGTGTAAAACATGAAATAGCTATATATGTGTAAACATGAGATAAAAAAAGCTGTCCCATAGTTTTTAGTTAGACACGATTTTACGATTTTATCCAACTCATGTGTGTTTTAATCCCCTCACCAAGGCTGAAAGATAAAAAAACACAACTCGTTGGATAAAAAAATCATGTCCAACCGCAAACCAATGAAGATAATATATAGATCACCTGCATATCGTGTTTACGTCTCCCAATTAAAAACGTTTTGATGTTATTGATTTTGGTAAAATTTTGTAATTTCATTTTATTTTTGACCCCAAAACCCACTCGACCGTCATGGTAGCTTAGTCGTGATCGGAAGGTGTTGGATAAAGCCCCGGTCGCGACAGACTTTACACAGGGAAAAGTGGCTCGCATGAACTTCATATAAAATTCGCAAGAATATCATGCGAATTCTTCGGATGAGAAGGAGATGAAAAGGACCACGTATGATATTCGCACGAAAATATCATGCAATTTTCACATGAAATTCACATGAATATCATGCGAAAAGAAAATCGCACGAAATTCATGTGAAAAAAAGAACCCAGGTTTCATATGAATATCATGCGAAGACAAGCATATTTTTTGTACCCCAGATATTAATATCAAGCTATTATCTATGAGTGCACCAAACCTAATCCATTAATTCTATCCTTCTTCCTTGGAAACAGAATTTTTTCTTCTTGCAAATGAAGTTTTCTTGAAAAATTCTCTTTTTCTTACTTAGTCAGTTAATCCAGACACAAGTAATGCACAATTATACAAAAAGTAACTTTGAATTTGAAAGAATCAAAACTTGTTTTCTGGACTCCTTCACTAAATAAAGACATCTGTGACATCAATTTCTACATTGAAAACTAATACAATTGATCTTTTTCTATCTTCTTTATTGAGGTTCTTATCACATAAGATTTCTTTATCTTGAGGATTCTGTTGAGATGGTGTTGCCGTTTACAAAAGTAAACAATCTCAGGTTATTGAAATTCATAATGGACAATATTTTTTTTTAATTAACTATAACTACCTAGGCCCTTAAGTAGGATTGATACCTCTTGGTCATAATCACCTGTATGCCAAGTATGTTCTCCAGATACTACTCCAATAAAAAGTTGCATTTTCTGAGATACTTCTATCAACTCTATGACCTTGACCTTGTCTTATGACCTCTGTTCTGGAAATGGCATATCTTATGATCATTATCAACCATTAGGGCAGTATGATCTTTGGGAGTTACTTTTTTCAATATACAATTATATTATGGCCAATAATTTAAACTTCAATTCCTGTTACCTCTACATTGCTTAAATGACCAACAGGCAGGGTTGTTTCACTGCCTCTAGTCATAATTAAGCAACCTTAAAAACATATCTAGTTCAAATTACCTTATGTTAGTCTTGGGATATACCTTTGAGTCACAGGCGAGTTTTGTCTCAGGTATGTCTACTGTGTTTCCATTATAGAGTTGTGAATGAAAATAATTTAATACATTTGTACCCTTTTGACCTTGAACATATCTAAAATGCCCTTGGTACTGGGTCAAGACTCATCTCTGGACACAAGCTACCTTTCTATCAGTTATGAGCCTAAGATTGTTTTCTTGGTTACAAAGTCATGTTCAAATAAGAATTTAATTCTCTTATTCCTCTTTTTAAAAGTTTGACAAATCAGTCTGTAAATTCCTGTTACCAGTTAGTTCATATATAATTACAAAGTGTAGGGAAAAAACAAGATGTGTTTGTGAAACACTGATGCCCCCGTATGGCAGCTTATGGCGAAGGTTAAACTTTATCATATGCAAGTCAAACTGCAAAGTCGAGAGATCAAAAATGCCCAAGCACCAACCATTCAAAAGTTATGGTCAAGGTTAATGTTTTCTAAAAGTGGGCCAAACTCCAAAGTCAAGGTCGAAGGGTCAAAATTAATGGTATTCAGGGGGAAAACCTTGTCATAAGAAATATACATGCAGAATATAAAAGCCCTAGCACCAACAGTTCAGAAGTTATGGTCAAGGTTAAAGTTTTTCAAAAGTAGGTCAAACTCAAAGGGCAAGGTCAAAATTGTTGATATCCAAAGGAAGGTCTTGTCACAAGGAATACACCTGTGAAATTTGAAAGCCCTAGTACTAACTATTCAAAAGTTATGGCCAAGGTTAAAGTTTTTTAAAAGTGGGTCAAAAGTTATGGCCAAGGTTAAAGTTTTTTAAAAGTGGGTCAAACTCTAAGGTCAAGGTCAAAAAGTCAAAAATATTTACACCCAAGGAAAGGTCTTGTCAGGATAAATACACATGTGAAATCTGAAAGTCCTAGCACCAACTGTTCAAAAGTTATGGCCAAGGTTAAAGTTGGGTAATTTTTTACAAAAATGGGTCAAACTCCAAGGTCAAGGTCAAATATGTTGGTACCAAAAGGAAGGTCTAGTCAATTAATACACATGTGAAATATGGAGGGACGGGGCAAAAACTTATATACCCACGACTCTTCGATTACCAGGGCATTATTATAAAGTGGTTTAAAAGATAATTTCCAGACAAAACATGTCTACAGACAGACAAACAGACATGGTGATTCCAGGACACCCTTACAACTTCTTTGTAGGAGCTAGTATATAACTTCATTGTAGGGGCAAAAAAGTTTTAGCTTTTACCAATAATATATGGCCCAGTGATCTTGACTTTTGAGATAATTCAATGTTTTACTACTCCCACATCACTGTTTTCATTATCCCTAAATGCTCTCCCATTGGAAAATGGTTAGTCTGTACATTTCTGTTAAAACTTGAATTTCCTTAATCAGAGACTTAAACAAAACATGAGTTGTGCTAACTGGCCAAGTTTGCAACAGTTAAAATTGGCATTTAGGTGTGATTCTAGAGAATGTAAAACGTACGTCTGGAAAGTGCAAAAGTTTACAACAACAGACAGACAAGTTTTGACAGTAAAAAGCTTACTAAAGCTTCTGGCTTAAATGGAATAATTAAATTAAATATGTTCAGTTAATGTCAAATTTAAATTGTCGAGAAAAAAAAAATCATACATGTATTTACTTACATGTACATATATGTACCATTGACAAATCTGTTTGTATGTATCTTCTGAGGATATAGGTACTCTGGTATTTGAAGCTGTTATGACATGCTAACTGCATGTGCCTACAGTGAAAATTTAAAAAAATGTCAGATACTGTCAATTCAATAGCATTTGGTTAATTATCTCCTTAGTACTACTGCATTTTTATGCATTTATTCTATAAATTAGCAGAATATATTTAAGAATTAGATAAGCAGAAATAACCTGAATGCTTATGGTTCTGCTAGTCCGATTCAAATAATTGACAGGAAAAAAAATCCTGCTTTTCTGCAGCCTTATCCTGCTTTTCTGCAATTATATTTTTGCTTTTCTATGTTGATCTTCTATTATGGCCCCACCCTACCCCAAAGGGGACATGGTTAGAACAAATTTGAATATACCTAACCTTACCTGAGGATGCTTCTGAATTTATATGGCTAATCATGGATTTGCAATTCTTTGGAAGAAGATTTTTAATGATTTCTCCTATGTATTCTCATTTTAAACTTTGATCACCAATTATGGCCCCTCTCTACCCCTTAGGGGACATGATTTGAACAACCTTGAATGTAAACTATCAAGGATGCTTCCATATAAATATGTCTAATCACTGCTTAACTGTTCTTGAGAAGAAGATTTTTCACATGTATGCCTAACATAAAAATTTGATCACCCATTTAGGCCCTCCCAACCCCCAGGGGTAATGAATTGAACAAACTTTAATCTATACTACCTGACAATGCTTTCATATAAGTATGACCAATCATGGCTTTGCTGTTCTTGAGAAGGAGATTTTTAAAGATTTTTTCTATATATATATATATATTTCTATGTAAAAATTTGTTCACTCATTGTGATCCCACCCTAGCCCCGGGGGTCATGGTTTGAACAAACTTGAATCTACACTACTTAAGGATGCTTCTTCATAAAAATCACCAATCATGGCTTAACTGTTCCTGAAAAAAAGAAATTTTAAAGATTTTTTTTGTTTTCCTATGTAAATCTTTGATCACCCACTGTGGCCCCACCCTATCCCAAGGGGTCATGATTTGAACAAACTTAAATCTACATTATGTAAGAAAGCTTTCACATAAGTTTCATCTTTCTGACCCAGTGGTTCTTGAGAAGAAGATTTTTAAATATCCACACCCAATTTTTACTATTTATATATCTTACTTATCTCCCCTTGGAAAGAGGGTATGGTCCTTCATTTGAACAAATTTGAAACCCCTTTACCATAAAGAATACTCTGTATTAAGTTTGGTTGAAATTGGCACAGTGGTGGAGAAGAAGATGAAAATGTGAAATGTTTATGACAACAATGACAGATGACGGACAAATTTTGATCAGAGAAGCTCCCTTGAGCCTTTGGCTCAGGTGAGCTTAAAACCAATCATGGAAAAGCAGCATGGAGTAGTCGCAGAAAAGCAGACAGGTTGCAAAAATAAGATGGGGGGAAAAGTATGTCAGCCACTTGATCACAAATAACAACATTATTTATATATATTGATGTATACCTTTGCAATAAATATTTTATTCTAGATTTTTTTTTACCTGTTTGCATGTAACATATATGTATAATCTTTGAGAAGCTATCAGTGTGGTATAGTGGGGGACCATCTGCTCATTTTCTAGCAAATACCTGCAAGTTAAGAATACAACATTTTAGTAAATATTTCTCAAACATGTCATTAGTAAACACAAAA